CTGGCTAATTTTTTTTGTTTGTTTCTATTTTTAGTTGTCCAGCTCATTTTTTTTTTTTCTATTTTTAGTACAGACGGCGTCTTGCTCTTGCTCAGGCTGGTCTCGAACTCTTGAGCTCAAGCAATCCGCCTGCCTCGGCCTCCCAGAGTGCTAGGATTACAGGCGTAAGCCACCCCGCCCAGCTGAACACACTATTCTTAATATATAACTTTGTACATCATAAGGGTACCACAAATGCTTATGGAAAGTTGATAGGAAGAATAAGGGGAAGGAAAAAAAGCAAGAAAGGAAGGGTAAATAGGTTAAGTTAGTTGTTATTCCGCTCAGGAGGACCTGAATTTTAAGAGACTATACTTGAAGTCGTAATTTAACCCCAAAGAAGAGATCAATTAATGTAGAAATTCATATATCATGAGACTGACTCTGTTCCTGAAATTTTGAATGTGATGGTTGGGGACGTATACCCAGATCCCTTCACTTACATCACTTGAAATTTCCTAGTTTGCCTCTTATAGGACTAATTTCAACTTATAGTACAGAGTTTCCAAGTTTTCAAATATATGTAAAACATATGTAACCACAATAATAGTGGTTAAATGCTTGTAAAATACTATCGCAACTATAACAGGCATTAAGTACAGATATACGCAATCCCTAAATTCTGTTAAGAGATGGTGCCATTTATACACAATAATGCTCATTCTCCAGTTTATTATTTAATAGAATAAATTCTAAAAATTTTTGAAAAGTGTCAATATGAAAAAAAATGATTGGCCTTTATGTTTTATTAAGCTGGTATGCTTTCAGTAATCATTTCCTCCTGAGGAAATATTTCCTGGTGTTTTATTTTGTCATTTGTATTGGTCAATATTTCTGTTAGAAACAGCTTAATCTGTCACTAAGAAAGAAAATTCAACAAGGAAAAGATACCTTTCCCACAAAAATATTTATTCCACTGCATTTGGATTCAAAGTTGTATAAAGAGAAATGTGGAGATAAAAGCTAAGGAGACTCTCCCAGGTGAGTGTCAACTAGCCAGATCAGAGGACACTGGAAAACCGCGGGTGTTTGCTAGAGATTGTCCCTTTAATTCTGAGAAAATGGTTCCCTAATGATACTTTTTGTTTCTCACTCTAGGATAGCTTGTCATTGGTACATAAATGCCCATAGCTGGTTCTGTCAACATTTTTGCTTTGAAGATTATGTGCTTTATGAGGCAAAACATAGCAACACAAACATTTAAATTGCCCCCACATTTTACAACCTCAACTGTTGTATTTTATATAAAGGTCGCAAAATGAATATTGTATTGATGAAAATTGGACATACCCTGAGGACTCCTGCTCCCTGAAATCGCAAATGGAGCAGATTGAGAAATCAAAAGTGTATGCCAAAAAAGGTAGGTAAAGAGAAAAATCCTCCGAACAGTTACGATTTTCATTCCTAGAGGCTAGAAATAAGCGAAGGGAAAAGGTACTTCTTTCTTCATTTTGGAAATTTGATTTCCAATATTACTTGGACATAATATAAGTAATGTAAGTTTAAAAAAAGAATAATACGGTTTTAGTTACTTAGGAAAAAAGTAATGTGTATGAGGGACTCAAAAATAGTTTTACAATATGACTATAGGCTAGAATCTATTTTTTGTTTTATTTTGTTTTTTGTTTCTTTTGGCTTCTATTTATCGTGTCTATGAATATTATTTTTAAAATACAACAAAACTTGTCCAATGTTCCTCTAAGTGCTTCTGTAATGGTCAGCATTTAATGCAAGCATGACTTGTCAAAATTACAGAGTCAATGCATCAGCCAGGAAAGTAAGAAGTTTCTTCTTTGCGGACTGGTGGGCTATTCACTGAAACAACACTAATCTGCCTGACAGTCATCCTTGTTTCTTCA